TCATTCTGCAGGCGCTATGGAGGACCCGGCGGACTGGTCTCGACGAAACCGACCGCAAAATCATTCGCGAAATGTTCGACATCTCCTCAGATTCCGATCTCGATCCCGTAAACCCCGCGCTCACTCCTTCCTCTTTCTTAATTGTGTCAATGGAAAATTGACTCTCTTTTTAATTAATTGAATATTTGTAATCTCTGTATTTGATAGAGTTCATTGAAAATTTAAAAGGGTTTTGTAAAATGGATGATGGAAGCTTTGTTAATATGCACGCTTTGCAATATGCTAACATAGGCTTAAACCGTAGCTGTTCTACAATTACCTTTTCTGTAAGCTGTTTGGTTTATTCCTGTATGGATAGCAGTACTACGTAGATGGTAGTGTTCTTTAAGTGACTGTGTCAAGGCAACATTATTGTCTATCAAATGCCGTGAATTTGATCCAACGTGATCTTACTTAAAAATTAAATAATATCATTTAGAATGATCGACAATCGTTGTGATTTTTGTTTTGTTTTGTTTTGTTTTATTTTTAGTCCTTTTGTTTAAAGCCACAAATAGCCTGTGACCGACATCTATCATAAAAAGAACTCTAAACTCCAATTTATGAAATTATTTAAATATATCAGTAAACTAAATATGTGACAGCTATTAATAACATAGCTTTACATATTAAAAGTCAGTAAATCAAATGGTTAATATTTTTATCTTGTTATGAAGCAAACTATCAGTTTATCAGCAAACACTACTCTTCACTAATGAGCAGAAATTATTTCAGCTAATCCGATTGGGGAAGTTGTATGACTTATTAATTTTTTTTCTAAGTTAACCGTTTTGCATTAGCACACCCCTTTCAAGCTAAGACTTACACTAGATACTAAGAACTACAGATGATAATAACTCTAAATGAGAAACCTAGAATGTATTACACATTAGAGAATTCTACAAGGTAAGTGTTCTTGTGCTTTTCTTGAATGGATTACAAATGAGATGATGGTCGTATTTATAGGCCCTTACCTCCTTATTATAGTTTCTAAATGGCAATATAATACTTATATATATATATAAATAATTTTATTATACTCTACACTACACTTAAAAATCCAAAATACTCTATAGAATTTTAGAGGCTCTCAGATTATTCACAAAGTATCTAGAAGGGTCTAGAGACCAGAAAGTTAAAAAATATTCTTGCAACATCCAAAATTTTCCATATCTTCTAGAGCCTTTTGAATGAATCAAGGCTTGTGCAAAAATTTTTGGAACCTTTAAGAACAATATGGCTCCATTTTAAGATGATTGTTGAAGATTTTTTTTGTCCATGCTTGCCATTTTTGTACCAACTAGAGTTTGATGAATCTCACTGATCATTAGTAGAGTATGACATTCTCATCCACATAAGCCTGAGATGCTCTTTCACATCTTCTCTTAGTGTAATGCTTGATCTCATTCTTGCAGTTCCATTGATCATTCTCAGACTTCCAGCTATCTCTCAAGTCAATAGTCCCTTTCACTTAAGGTACGTTTGGGGCAGCTTATCCGCTGTGGTGTCGTTTTAAAAATGCCACTGCTAGTTTGGAAGAAGTGTTTCGTCAGCGTCTGCGAAAATGACGGTTTTGTTTTTATGTTAAACGCGGACCGCGGGTCGAACCCCACTGTCCGCGTTTCATTAAAGCTTTTGACAGGGTTGGCCTCTTCACATATCATCTGCCCTAACTCCCTCTTTTTTCCTTCTCACCCGTCTCTTTTGACCCTCTCTCTTTCGCGTTCTTCTCTCCCTCACTCGTGCGCTTTGACGTTCTCCTCCTACTATGTCATTAGACCCTCAACATTCACTACTTTGTAAGTACATTTGCTAACTGCCGTTGAAATGGTTTGTATTGTACGATATTATGCTCTCTGGCTTGCAATTTCTGTTTACGCTCTTACAGATCTAGTGACTGTTGATGGATCTGGTTTGCCATTTGCAATACATATAATTCGACTCTAATATTTGTATTCTTGGAGCCTTTGTTCTGGTTTCTCTGGTTTCTCCAAGTTTCTTATGGGTGCAAAACGAAAATGTTGGAGCCTTTGTTATGGTCTCTCTGAGGTTGGACTGTGCATTTTATGCCCTTATTTTGGGTGCAAAACTAAATTCTCATTTTTACAGGGTTTGAGGAAAATCCTGGGTGGTTTGATTCTTGGACTTTTCCAATTAAATACTTTTTGATTTTTTACATTAGCTTATTCAATGGATGACATTGAAGTTCATCCCCTATTGTCTGTTTGGGGCATTTATGATTTGTTTCTTGAGCTTACTTTTGTGATTTGTGGGTGCTAGATGGATTTAACCATAGTAAATTGTTACTTGTTTGGGCATTTTTTATTTGCTAAATTAGGATTTCTTGTGAGTGCTGGTGTTTGTTGGAGGTGCATTTTGACGAGGTTTGCTGGATGGTTTGATCCTTTCTCACATTTTTATGATAAGTACATTCCATTGATATTTGGTTGAAGGTTTTTTCGTGTGAGGATGCTTGGAATGTTTAGGAACTATTTAGGATCATTACAACCAACAATTGAGCTTTTGGAAATGGTGATTTGGTCAATACCAATAAGAATGAAGTTCCTTAGTGGTGTTGCTTACATTGCTGGTAGGTGTATTGAAAAAAATAAAGGGGAAGCTCTCAGGTTTAAACAAAAACCTTCTCCTGCTATTAATTGAGGTACTAAATCATGGATTTCTCTGTTGAAACTATCTCAATCCTCTTTATCTTGTCGATTAAATTATAAGTTATTGCCTCTTGATGATACTATTAAGCTTAAAGGGCTGCACAATGTTTATATTTGTTTATTTTATTGAAATGAGAAGGAATCTTTGCACCATCTATTTTTCAATTTTGCATTTTCTTGGGAGATATCGAGGCTGCTGTCTCTCTTATTTTAAAACTCATATGCATATGTGCGGGTATCAAAATTTGGATCATTGCCTTTTGCTTTGGAGGAGGGGTAATTTTTTGCAAAATGTTATCCACTATACTATTTGATTGTTTCTTTGGAATGAAAGAAATCAATGGAAGCATTATGTCGTGTGGAGAAATGCTAAAAGAATCCTTACTATTGTCAAATCCTTTATTTCTAAAGTGTTTGCTTACACTTCGTCTCACAAGCTTCTTTTTATGATATGTGGTTGCTGGAATATATAAATATTTTACAAAGAGTTTCTTGATTGCAGGAGAAAATTAAGAAAAAAAATCAAAACTAAATTTTTGGGTCGACATACTTGCTTGAGTGCTTTATGGATGCAGTTTATTAGTTGATATTGATTTTTTTTTTACTTGAAAGAAATATTTATTTTATCTTTTTCCTTTTATGTCTTAGCAACATAATGAGTCAGAGTAAACAGGTCGGATCATTGGCCATATGGGATAGAGAGGTCACTGTTATATTTTGCGACCTTTTTAACAAGAAAGGGTGACAAAATCTCATGAAAAGTTCAAGAAAATGACATGAAGGAATTACGATAGGATGAAATTTAAGAATAAGTGAGATCAACTAAGGAAGGATTGAAAATTATGGAAGAAACTAAAAGGGGATTCACATGATTGGATTGGGATCCGATGAAACAGTCAATAGATGCTTCAGAGGCTTGTTGGACTGAGAAATTGCAGGTAATAACCTATCCAATGAATACTGCTTATCTCATTATATATACGACTAAGCTGCTTTGAGTAGTAAACTTGTCTTATGTTGCAGGCAGTTCCGACAGCAAGAAAATTCAAATTCAGTGGCATTGATCTGGTTTTAGAGGAGAAGTTGGACGGTATCTTCAGAGTGATTGTTGCAATGGGAACTCATGCGTTCACTCCAAGTGAGCATGGGTTACATGCATACTAGATGACTTGGAGGCCGAGCATTTAGGTGATTCAGGTGAAGGCCACAGCCTAAACCAGAGGGAGTTGGATTCTACATTCAAATCAAAGCGGTGTAGTGTGGAGAAAAGAAAGAAAGAAGGATCTGCTTTCATCAGAAGCCTCAATAAAAGAAATGCTAGAATCATGTAAAATTCATGTCGGGACTTCACGGGACACCTCCATAGGCGACTTTCTTTGAGTTCTTCACACATATCCTGAAGTTAAGTCGGATAAGCCATTCTATCTGAGCCATTGAAGTTTTGCTTTAGGACCCAAGACGCAAACAAATATTCATGCAGATGGACCCCGATCTGCGAGTCAACTGTTTACGTTTTTTATGGATAAATGATGTCGTAGAGATGTTGTGTATTTGCTCTAGTTTTTTTCACATTTCTTTCTTGGTTGTTTATTTGCACTGGTTTTCAATCCACATTTGTCTCGTAGATGTTTGCTTAGCTTTCTTGTCAGTTGCCCATTTTTAGTTTTTATATATCTTCTTTTTAACTTGTCTGATTCACATTTCATGCTTTCATAGAATACTGTTAACGATGGATCCAAATCAACTGAGCTTTAGAAGAAAAGTTATTGCAGTTATGATTATGTTGTATGAATACTACAACCCTACGTCGATTGAACTCCCTGCATGACATCGAGTTATATTGATGATAAATGGGTCGACGAGCTACTATAAGGACACCCAACACGGTTCAGTAACAAGTTTCATATGAAAAAACTCATATTTCTCGATTTGCTCGATGAACTACAAAGACATAATCGACTACACAACTCCTCAAGAACGACAACAAGAGAGGTATTAATAATAACCTTCTACATTTTATCACATAAAAAATCAATTAGATGAGCGATATAGCAATTCTAATATTCATCGGATACAATCAACAAGTATTTCTCGGTGGGCTTGAAAGCTCTTGTCAGTTTAGCGACAACGATAATTAAGCCAGAGAATCCAACATTTGAGGCGACTCCGACAAAGATTGCTAATGACCGTCGTTACATACCATTTCTTAAGGTAATTTTTAATAACACATGACATTCAGATGTCAAAATGAGTTACATGACATTCACAACTGTAACAAATCTGACAGAACTGTATTGCAGCAATTGACAGAATACATATGATGCACAAGTATCCAGTACTGAGAATGTTGCATACATTGGACGGTGTGGAGCGTCAACACAAAATGTGATGGTCGTATGTAACTTCGACATATGTTTCACTTTTGTGATGACTGGTTGGGAAGACAGCGTACACAACAGTCGTATTTTTTCTTTTGGAACACAAGACCGACGACACGGCTTTCTGCACCCACCTTCAAGTTTGAAAATATATCAACCACGATCGATATTTTTAGTTTGTTACTAATTACGGTATTCTAGTAGATAAATATTATTTAAGCGATGATGGTTATTCTCTACAGAGGGAGTATCTAAAGTCATATCCAAATATGAAGTACAACATTCCTGATCCAACAGTGTAGCTTGCGACAAGAAGAAAATGTTTAACAAAAGCTCCTCACGCGGTGTAATTGAACGAAATTTTGGGGTGTGGAAGAAAAAAATTTGTCATTCTACGTGATATGCCGACTTACCCATTTTCAAAACAAGTGCAGATTGTGGTGACCACGATGACGCTCCACAACTACATTTGACGACACTATTCTAGGTCGGATGAGACTTCACCCTGGCTGATGACGATCACATGCAGGCCCCGCCAAAAGCATTTGAATTTCATATAAACCAGTCTATACCACAAGCAGAAGTGGAATCTCAGGAAGATTATACCCAAGATAGCGAAAGTGCCACGGAAATGGCTGCGTTGAGAGAGCGGATAACGGGGCGAGATTGTTCGATGTTGACTGAATGCCTTTTGTTTATTTTATAACCTCTATATTTGTTTAATGTCACTTATATTATGGATTTTTTTGGTTTAACATTTTTCGGTTGTTTGTTTTTGTTTCTTCTCCATGTGAGTTTTATTTGTGTTTTTGTGTGTGTTTGTGAGGTCGATGATGAGTCATTTGACCTTTCTGGGTTCTTCAGATGACCTATCAGTCACTGTTGGTTTGTGTCGCATGTGAAATCTTAATGAAGACAACCAAATTTCTCTTTTATTTGTGGCAATATGGTTTTTGAGGATCCTCATAATGACCTTTTTTGGTGATATGCATATGTGACACAAGCGAGGTTAATTTTGCGTGGATAAAAGACCACCAAGAACTCTGGTTTTTCTAAGATTTACTGTTTTCTTGTAGTGACAGATTTGTTGGTTGGAGTAGTGAGTTCTTTGAGCCTTCACGCCTGTACAATTTTCGTTTATTCCCATTTCCTTGTATTTTTTTTTTGAATTTCATCAGAGTCCTCACGCTTGCTATTTTTTTAATTAGTTTTTTGTTTCTTTATTCAAAACTATTTTTTATTTTCAATTTCTATGATTTTTTTAATCTCATCTAATGTTATGACTGACGAGTTCTCTCTTGAATTATTGAAAGAAGATGAGCTTCAGGTTTTCGGAGAACTCCGGGCGAGTGCTATGCCTCTTTGTACTGTCATTTTTGTTATTGACGTCACGATGAACACATAGCGACGAACGACAGTTCTATAATTGCCTGTGATGGGCAGACGACCCAGAGACGTATGACTTCTTCAGGTGGGCAGACAGTCCGACTAATTCCTCTGCCGATAGTGATCGGGGTATCCCTACATGATGGTATCCCTACCGGACAACGTTGCTCGCGACATTCTTCTTCTGCATTTTACAATGAATATTATCATACTTTAATTGTAATTTTAATATGTATTTTCTTTTTTTTTAGGTTTTTTGTTATTCACTCTTAAGTGAGGTGTATATTCTTGTACTATTATGAAAGGTTTTTTGGGTTCTAAAGCATCAAACGTATAACCATAACAATTCTGTTGCAATTAACACAACTGTACAGTGACAGAATTGTCATTTATCCAGAAACAACTACAAATCACTGTTTTCCAAACACACAAACCAAACAGCTAGACAACTTATATGGATCAGTGACAGAATGATCATTTATCCAGAAACAGTTGTAAATTAACTGTTTCCAAACGCACAAACTAAACAACCAGATAACTTATTCGGATCAGCTGTTGATTAGCAGCTTATCAAGATAAGTTGTTTATCTGGATAAGCTGCAGCTGCTTAAAACAGACCCTTAATTCCATCCATTTATGAACTAGGAACTGATAAGTTTGTTTGCTGGTCTTGATCCTCTACTACCAAATTTGTCCCTTTTTGTGGTGGTCACATAGACAACTTCTTATCAGATACATCTTTAATTTGATGATTATTGTTAACTCCTTTGGCATGCCCTCTTCAATATTTGGCTCATCATCAACCCCATTCAGGGTAGCTATGTAACTTTTCGAATCTCTCTTCTAACCTTTCTTGAACTGCATAGCTGACAACATCTTTACTACATAAGTATGAGCCCTATCTTAGATGTACATTGTTTTGGCAAATGGAATAGGAAAGGCTTTGACTTGATCGAGGAACTCTATTCCAGATGCTACTTTGAAGTTGTACAGTAGAACTATGAATGAATCCAAGTAACTCACCCATGTGCTTAGGGTGGTCTTCATCCCTTGAGTTATAACTTAGATTTGTTTTGCCATATTCATCGTTCTGTTTTCACCATCTTAAGATCCAATTGTTTGATTTCTTCTATGTAGATGAAGTTGTGTGTTGCACCTGTGTCGACTAATGTGTTTATGTTTCTTCTATTAAGTGTGACATCCACAAATAGTAATCCCTTGACCTATATTTTTGGGGAACTTTGAATAATTTTGAGGAGATGTAAAGTCCTATATTAAGAATCATTCTTTGTACTTCCCGCCTCTTGTTTTTGGTCGCTCCCTTCTCAAACAAGAACTACCACATTAGAAATAATCCCTTCTTAGGATAGATCGATTAGAAGTCTCTTTTTGCTTGCTCTTATTCTTGAATTTGGAGAAATTTTTGTTGTGGCTACCTTGATTATGCTCTCCCCCACTTTTGTTGTTGCCACTCTTTCTCTCCTTCGGCTTAGATGACTCATGGCTAGAGTAATCCTAATGAGTTTTCTTCTGTACTTGTAGATGATAGATCACATTTGTTAAATTGATAGGTGCTTACTTGCATACTTTTTTATAACTTTTTTCTAGCTAGAGTAGTCAATTAGGCTTTTGACAGTGGCAATGGC